ACTGCATTGTTTGCAATCTATAACAATAAATACACCATTTTAAAACTTTGTGTCTTTTTTTTAGGCTCTTTTATATATAATATTTATCTTTTATTAGTTTTCATAATACAGCGGTGGGAATATGTTATTTACCTGCTAGTAAAAAATTTAGCACTTTTGTATTTAATTTAAAAAATGAATTATATATTTTTGAATTGGTTATTTTTTTTTCAAATTAGTAATATATGAGAATATATTGTTTTAACAAAATTTCTGTAGATGGGGTTTACTACCTTTATTTAAAATGATTAGGTAAACATTTTTTTTCAAGTTTTGACTACACTGTATTTGCGAAATAAGAATCCAAATATTTTTTTTAGTTTTAATAAATAAAGCGGCAAATAATTTTTTAAATTTATTTAATTTATTTTTTGGTTATAATAAACTTAACTCGTTCAATGGTTAAGTGAACTTGAAACGAAAATACAAAGAGGTACTACTGGTGCTGCTTTTCGACGTGCAGTTCCTAAGGTGTGGGTCAAACGCGGTCAGTTTGTGTGTGTATCTGTGATCCGAGAAAGATATTATTTTGAATATATTTACTAGTTAAGAATATAGACGCTTAAAGTGTTTATGTTATTTGATATTAGCTTGGTGCAATGTTTGTGTTTAAGGTGTGTGATTTATTTTGGATTACATATTTTTAAGAGGTATGTTTTTTTTTCTTATCTATTAAACATCACAAAAAGAAAGTATAATATTTTGCTTTTAGAGGAAATAGTCATATCTTTTAAATAAATAAACGATATGAAATTATATATAATATGTTAGGTGTGTGATTATTTATTTTGGAATACATATTTTTAAGAAAGTATGTTTTTTTTTATCTATTATACATCGCAAAAAGAAAGTATAATATTTTGCTTTTAGAGGTAATAGTCATTATTTTAAATAAATAAACCAACATGAAATTATATATATATATTGTGTTATCTATATGTATAGTTATAATATATATATATATATATATATATAGGTACTATATATAAAATTTTGTACTGATTTTTACCTACGTATTTTGGAAATGAAATAAAAAACAAAAATGTTATAAAATTTTTTATTTTAGTACAATAATCCTTAGAAACTGTCAGTGTTAATATTTTAAAATAAAAGTAAAACTTTGTATTTTTAGAATATTTTGTTTGATATATAAAATTAATAGTATTAATTTATTAATTTTATATAATTTAACATTCGACAAACACTTAGAACAAGATATAACAATTAAAAATGAAATTATATTCAATAGCACAAGTTTGAATGTTTTTTAAATATTTTATAGTGAACTTCATGGCTATCCAAAAATGATTGTTTTTCATAACAAAGTTTTTAATAAGCACTTATATTCTTCATCTAGCTTTGACACTCGATTGCTTGCATTGAACACAATTTGTCACCCGAACAGATTATATTATGATTTTATGAAATTTTTACACTTTTAAACATTATTCCACTGGTTTGCATGTGTAAATAGACGTTAGAATTTGATTACAGATTGCAATGTTCTTGTTGACACTAGTTAAGCTCTGTAGAGCTCTATCGCGTTTCCTTTCATACGCACTGATTTTTTTAATTATACTTGTTATGAATTTCTTGGCTTTCAAGAAACGCTTATTTTCACAACAAAGTTTTTAACAAGCACATTATATTCTATCTTGGCTTTGCACATTTTTGTCGATTGTATCAAATTAGTCGTCGTGTTAAGGTCTATTTTATCTGATTATTTGACAGGCAATACACATTTTCCATGCTTTCATCAAAGTCCCTTCTTGAATGATATTTTCTATTTTTTTTTCTTTAAACAGGTATCCCTTCATCTTCGCTTTCGATGAAATGTTTTCATATTTGCTCTCGTTTGGAGTCGAAGATATTGTGACATGCTCTTGAATTTCTTTATATTTCATAGGTTGGTGATGACGGATGTCCCTCAATTAACTCAGAGAAGAGTTTAACACTTCTGCAAACATCTTTCTTTTGGTGACTTTTTAAAGTGCGAAATAATCTTCGCGCTGGATTTTGAACTTTCTGGAACCGGAAAATTTACTTCATTTTTATAATAGTAATACCGACACTTTCTAAGGATTATTTTACTAAATTAATCTGCAGTACTCGGCTTTTTATAACTTTTGAAAAAGTGGAAAGGGCAGACCTACTAAAAGTATTAAAATTGCTCCCTTTTAGCACATTTTTAGCGAAAACTCGAGATTAATCACTTAATAGCATATGATATACATTGTTACAACCCTAATGTGCTAGTTACCTATATAGATTTCAATTAAATTTTAATGACTTTTAATTATAATTAAGAGTTTTTCATATTCTATAACACTTGTTATTTACCAATTCACATATTTGTTGGCAACTTATCGTGGATCTAAATTTGCAAATATTTACCATAATTAGAATAGGGAATGCTTATACGGGCACCTGTATTATACATATCTTGTATAGATAAAATCCAAACCTCACCCGCAAATATGTGGGTTCTACAATTGCGCTCGAAAAATGTTAATTATATTCACCCATGTAATTTTTGTTAATACTACATGTACCATTGTTTGGTTTAAAACCAGACAATATTTCCGTTTTAGAATTAAGGGTTTTATAACGATGGAATAGCAGATAACACGCTGAATTCATTTCTATTTAATAAATATATGTATAAAAGCAAAATGTTATAAAATGAAGTTGGTTTGTATTTTAAACAATTTTATATAATCAACTATAACGTTCTACGTCTTTTAATGCATCTCTTCATGCTTCTCTGTCTCTCCACAACTCGTCTCCAGGGTGTTCTTCATATCTTGTCTATTCCTTCCTATCAGCTTTTCTGAGTCTTCTTTTCTCTTGTGGAATTCGGGTCTCACGCATTCTTTGAACGTTGACAGACAAGTTGTTTGGTTTTAATTTCATCAACTATTGTGTGTGTGACTTGCATTATTTCTCTTATTCTTTATTTGTCACTCATTCCAGTTTTGATCTTCCACAGATCTTTACCAGAAATCCATTTCAGTAGCTTTAGCATTCGTTTTGTTTTTTTCTTTCAATTGCCACATTCACCAATAGTAATTATACTTTTAACTACGGTGTCTATATTCGCTTTTTACGTTGTTTGTTAAATTGTTAAACAATTTAAAGGATATTATAAAATACCATTTTTTGCTTAACAATCCTTATAAATATTGAAATTACGTGCATAACTGATATAATCCAATGATAACTACTAATGTAATCAACAAACGCAAAATATCAGTATTGTTTATAGACTACTCTAAACATTTTATTTGTCACAACCGTAAAAATAAAATTAAAAACGTCTCATTTTAGTTTTTATAGACTTTAAGGTTTCCTTCCTGAATATCTTCATGCTCTCTGTCTCTCCACAACTCGTTCCAGGGTGTTCTTCATATCCTTGTCTATTCCTTCTATCAGTTTTTTGAGTCTTCTTCTTCTTCGTGGAATTGGGTCTCACGCATTCTTTGAACGTTGAACGACAAGTTGTTTGGTTTTAATTCATCAACTAATGTGTGTGTGATTGCAATTTTTTATTCTTTCATTTGTCACTCATTCCAGTTTTGATCTTCCCACAGTCTTACCAGAAATATTCAGTAGCTTTAGCATTCGTTTGTTTTTTTTTTTCAATTGCCAACTTCACCATATGTAATTTATTTTAATACGGTGTCCTATTCGCTTTTTACGTTGTTTGTTAAATTGTTTAAACAATTTTAAAGGATATTATAAAATTACATTTTTTGCTTATCAATCCTTATAAATATTGAAATTACATGCATAACTGAATATAATCAATGATAACTACATAATGTAATCAACAAACGCCAAAATATCAGTATTGTTTATAGATACTCTAAACATTTTATTTGTCACACCCGTAAAATAAAAATTAAAAAACGTCTCCATTTTAGTTTTTATAGACTTTTAAGGTTTCCTTCTGAATATTTTGTTTTTTGACTCGTCAGTGTTTCATTATTTATGATTTTTTATACCGGTATTTATATTCTATATTTATGATCGTTTCTCTGCATCTAGGATCAGTTCTGAGATATTATATTTGGTTTTTTTATTTTTTTCCATTCTTTCTTATACATATCATATATTTATTGATTCAAATTATATAATTTCTTTTTTGTTATTTGAGTTAATGGCCTTTTAATGTTACCCAAACGTTTACCCCTTTAAATAATGTCAATGAGGTGCCAGAAAATTCGTTGTGTTAATTAAACTATTATCTTTTCAATTTACTCAATTGGTTAGTCTAATTTGATATTGTTGGGTGTTCAACTGGCTGGCTTTTTATTTTAATGAGTTAATTAAACTAATCATATTATTCTGCGGGGTGGGTAGATTGACGTGTTAATTGGCATTGCTGAATTATTTTTGACCACGATATTGTGTACAATCTTAATTCGCTTTACCTATTTAAAATCACCCACTCATTTTGATGCGTAATATCTTATATCACCCACTCTATTTTAGATAACTCTAGGGTAATTATAATTAATTATTGTTATAATTAGTCATTTTGACCACGAAATTGTGTACAATCTTAATTGGTTTATTCGCTCACCCTATTTAATATACCCTATTAAATCTTGTCTAGACCGCCTCGGTTCATTGACCCTCCTCATTTGCTCATACTAATACACACTACTGAAGTCATGTAACGACGTAAACAACGTATTCTTGTCAATTTTGAAACTGTTTACAACTTGTGACAAGTACAGTCGCTTCGTTTTCCGCGCCATAACTTGGTTTTCCGTGATTAATATGAGCTTATCCCTTAACTTTAGCCTTTTTATACTTCACTTTTTACGTCGACTTAAATATACACAAACATAAATTGGAATTTGGAGGCTTTTGTTATACTTTAACCAATACTTAAATCTTAATCCAGCTTTTCAAGAAATCTTTTCAAACAACTCATTACTTTTTCTAATTTCTAGAGTTGAAGTAATTGCCAGAGACAATCCAAACTCGACCACAGACTTCTTCGAAATAAGAACTTCCTTAATAGTGAATCTTATTCACCAACGAACAGGATGATTTTGGTGATAGGCGATGCTACACCTGACGTAGTGCAAAACAAAAAAGATGACATCATAAGAATTTTACAAGAGCAAACGGGGCTGATAATTGAGTCGAAAAACTGGTATCTAGGGAATACGTAGGAGGGAATAATACTTTGGAGACTGATTCTACGGCTACCGATGTCTGGTTTTATGCTGTAGATCCTGAGACTGATACTATATTGGATAGAAATAGTTCTATAGTTAAGAGGTAAGTGTATAACAATTGTTATTTCTAATATGTTTAGTTATTACACTAGGCTTTATTTATTAAGCAAATATTCACCATCATGTCCATGTTACTTTTCTTTGGTGAGAATAGTTGTACCACAGGTGATTTAGCATTGATATGGACAGTGCTGGGTTCTCGAAGCTCTCCAAAAATTTGGCAATTACTGGAGATAGTGGGGAGCCATTGGGCACCATTTCTTAAAATTTTTGATGAGGGATGAAGCATTTTCGGCGAAAGGTTTGTGCAGGTCAGTTGTATGATGTATGGTGTACGTAGATGAATATCAGGTTTGTTAATTTGGGTAGCCATATATTTAAGGTGTTCTGGACATTTTTCAGGATGAATTAGATATTGTTTTATATCAACAAGAAGAGAGTGTTGATTGATAATGCTTTTGTTGTTTCTCCAGATAGGTGTTGGATTATTTGAAACTTGGTCTGTAGTCTGGAGTATAAATGAGATTTTAGAGTTTGTTGATATAGGAAGTAATGTTTAGGATAATGGTGACATTTCCTTTATTAATGGGAAGAATGACTAGACTTATATTGGACTAAAAGTCTTTCAGGGCTTTTTTCTCGGATTGGCTAATGTTCAAAGTAGGAGGTTCTGAGAACTCTAGCGATGTCTTGTTCAATTTTTTCAGCATCTTCGGAACGTAAACTGGTGATAGTTTCTTCGTTGGCAGATATTGTGTCACTTGGAATGTGACTTGGGTTAACAGAGTAATTGAAACCTTTTGTAAAACTGGTGGTAATGGTCGAAATAGGTTATCAGAAAAGTTAGGAACTAATGTGTGGGTTTCAATATTGTGGTTTTTTGGAGTTTGTTCGGCAATTAGATGCGATAATTACGCTTCTGAGTTTTAGTCTTAGATTCGAAAGTGTTTAGGACTGTCTGTGTATTAATATGGTCAAAACTGTCCCATAATATAGGATGTACATTGAAAGAATAAATAGATGACCAGATATTAATAATACTGATATTGTGACAACTAGTTTTCGTCAGTGGAATGAATCGCTTCAGGAAACACAAAACTGGTTGTAATAATAATATCGGTATTTATTAAATGTTATATTTAATAAAACTATAGATAAACAATATACACGTTACATCTTTTTATATTAACCTCCTAACTCTACTCTTAACTTATGATTTGTATTCTTCCACCTCTCAGACAACACTCAATGACTTTGTCAGTACATTATCTTTTATGTTTCTGCTTTAAACTGAATCTTTTAGTATCACTCATTCTTAAATGCTTTTCTAGTGTAATGCACACATTTCATTCATATCAGTATCATTCTCTGCACTTTCATCACTTACATTTCTAGACAAATAACTAGCAAATGTAAATATTTACCAGGTACATACTGAATTTGTATATTCATATTTCAGTAGCTTCAGTTTTAGCCTCTGCAACTAGGAGAACTAATTTGACTTATTTGCTTACTCATGATACTTACATTAGGTTATGATTGTTCTGAATTTTACAGAGCGACCATAAATATAACTGTGGAATTTTTGACATGCAAACCTACGGCGAATAACTCTTTCTCATGACAGCATAATTTTCCTCAGTACCTGTTAAACCTCTAGAAGCATAAGCAACAGGTCTTCCACCTTGCATTAGACAAAATCCTAACAAACTGAGACGATCTGTTTGAATTACAATATCTTTATAGAATCAAATTCTTTAGAGATATATTTTTAGCAAGTTCTGTTTTATACATCCAGTGCTTACTGTGAACTCCAAGCCCTGAAAATACACATTCTTTTCAGTAATAGTACAGTGGGCTGCAATTCACCAATTTTGGAACAAATTTTCGTACAATTTAACCACACCCAGCAGTTTTTGAGTCTTTTTGTTTGACGGGTTTTTCTAGGTCATTTATGCCTCAATCTATATTATCTATTTTCATACCATCTTCATTAAAATGTGTCATGTATTTCATGTCATTTGTCTAAACTGAAATTTGATTTTCTACACCCATTTCCCTAGCTCTATTAAAACTATTTTAAGTGTCTTGTAATGCTCCTCCATGGAATCAGATGCAATTAATAGATCATCAAAATATATAATACATTTTCAATGTCACCAAAATTTTTACATTTAATTTCTGAAAATATTCTGGGGCCAGATTCAGACGAATGGTAATCTGAGAAATTTGTAACACCAAATGAGTTGCAAATGTTGTTAAGGAACGAGATTTTTCATTAATTTTACTTGATAAAAGCCCATCTTTGAAATCTAATACTGAAAAATATTTTTTTCCTGACGGTTCGAATTATTTTCTCTAAACTGAGGAATTTCAAAATAATTCCCTGACATACATTTATTACAGCTGCGTGAGGTTAGACACAGACGCATGTGAACATCTGGCTTCTCAACTATCACTTAATTATTAACCCATTACATGCTTCTGTTACTTTGGATATATATTTCTACTTTCTCTAATTTACCTAAATTCTTTTTAGCTTATTTTTTATAGTAAATGGTACTCTTCTAGTGTCTAGCTACTGGCACACTATCATTTTTTAATTGTATTTACAAAAACCTGTGAATGTGCTATTTCCTCAATACATCTTTATATTCTATAGTAATAATTGTCCTTAGTAGTAAGTTGCCTCATCACCATTTACACTCTGTATTTTTTAATTAAGTCAAAAGAATAACATGTTTTTAAACCCAAAATTGGCTGGACTTTTAAATCTACAACTACAAATTCTAAATTATAATTCCTATCCAGCCTCTACCAATTTAAAGTAATTTTCCCTAAAGTTTTCAAACGTGTACCTCCATAAGCTTCTAATATAGTATTACACTTTTCAATTTTGTACTTACTGTTTCTGAATATGACTTTTAAAATATCACTGGGTAATATATTTACTTCTGATCCAGTGTCCATCTTGAAACTCATGTTTTGGTTGTTTATAGTTGACTACTCAATCCACTGATTACGACTTCTACTATGATTGCCCAACTCTTTCACGTATGCACATGCATGTCATCATCTGTTGAAAGAGTCATCAATGTTCTCGTCATGTCTTCTAATTTCTTTTAACTTTTTTAACATTTTGCCTGTATATCTTTGCTGATTGGACATTTCAGCAAAACACGCATTACTAAAGTGATTTGCTGCACCACATTTATAAGCAATTCTTCCAAACGCGGGCATGGGCAGCTACATGTTTACGTTTGCACTTCTTGCACAAAAATTTTAACTCACTTTGTGTATTTCCACTGTCTTGTATATTTTTTACTGCATTTACTTCCAAACTTTCATTGTTTCTTACAGATTCTAACTGCTTTTTTGTTATTTCAGAGTCTTTGCATATCTCTATTGCTGTTTCAAGCGTTAACTTTGAGTATTTAATAATTTTTCTTGACGGATGGACTATTTGTTCTATAACTAACCTAATCTGTCCATATGCTGTCTTCCTGTTTGTCATATTCACAACTTTGTATCAACTTTTTTAGATCACTAAGATAACGATCAAAAGGTTCATCTGCAGCTTGAATGTTTTATTAACATACAAAAACGTTCATAGTGTTTTATTTCTTTGGGAGCACAATATTTCTTAAATCTTGATATGACACTATCAAATTTATTCGATTCTGGTATTTTGAGAATGTTATATATACTATATATATTTAATAATATATATATAATATATATATATATATATATATATATATATATCAACTCCTTCGGGTCCAATCATATTTAAAAACAAAGCAATTTTTACTCTATCGGCTTTGTCATCTTTTTAGTTGCAATAAGATACATTTCAAAATTTTGGGTAAAACCGTCTAAAATGTTCGATGAAGGTTCCCTCGAATTTCATGGATTCTGGCACTTTTCCTTCATGCGATAACTGTACTTTTGGCTCTTGTACTGATGCGCCAATGTAATAATAATACTCGGTATTTATTAAATGTTATATTTAATAAAACTATAAGATTAGTTTAGATTAGACCATGAGTTAGAGATAGAGGGTTAGGAGGTTAATATAAAAAGAATGTACAGTGTATATTGTTAATCTTATAGTTTTATTAAATATAACATTTAATAAATACCGAGTATTATTATTACACTGGTCTTTCTAAGAATTTGGGAGATACACATTTAATCATATCACAGACAAAGATCATAGTGGAGAGACTAAATAACAATCAGCCCATATAACCACAATTGACCGGTTTGAGATTGTGATCTCATACTCATATCTAGGATCATAGATCACAAACACAGGATCAATACAGAAGAAATAAAACTAGATATGATCTAGCAAAAGTTTCCGTAGGAAAGATGGCCAAAATATGAAAGAACTCTCAAATTTCACAAACTCTAAAAATTATACTTATTAATTTTTGTTTGTTCCTAATGTGCTTTCTAATTTATTTGTGAAATGTAAATTTTTGGCTTTATATTTTTAACAATGATACTCAACTCTTTCTATTACTTCGTATAGATTTTCTCTGAGATTAATCAAATCTCGGCCACTACCGGCATTACATACATTTCCAATTAAAGATGTTTTAAAATAATCTATAAATAATTCTTCCTCGATTTAATTGTTAATGAAGTTTATAACTATTAGTATGATTATGGCGCAATGCATAACCGTAAGATGCATCATCTGATGAATTTTAAACAGGAATTTATTATAGGCCAGTCACTGAGAATTAGATTAATTAAGATATTTAATTATTAAGCAATTAAATTATCAATTATAATTTATTAAAAGGCAATAGAAAATGATAGTATTGAAATTATGCTCATATTTTCGAGAAACATAATTACTGTAGATGGTCTGCTGAATATTTGCACAAACTTCGTCATTCGTATTTAAACTAAATATAGAGAAATGGATGCAAAACTAAAAGACAAAGGTAGAAATAATACAAATATACGGACCAACAGAAGGTAATGAAGAAGAGATAATGATAGAATTCTACAACGAACTCCAAAACGCAT